TATTCTAGGAAGTGGTGGACTCTTCCAGAAGTGAGGATGGACTGGAGGAAGTGGTTCCTAGGGCATGCCTTTGAAGATTCTACCCATCTCCTGGTTCCTTGTCTTTCTCTGTGCCCTGTCTGTCATTTGATGAAGAACCTTATCCACTGTCTATTGCTGCCAACATGATGTTCTGCCCAAGGACATGGGGCCAGAATGCATGGACTGAACCCTCCTCTGAAACCATAAGCCAAAGAAATCTTTCTCTCTGATTTATGCAGTTAGGTTGTATGCATTCTAAAACAGGGATTTTCCTTAATGTCAGAACTTAATGGGGACTCAGGTTCCAAACAATAACTTCTGTGGCCCCTGCATCTGGCCAAGAATAAGATAGATTCGATAAGAGGAGGCAGCCTGAGAGCTGCTTGCATTGTTAGAGAGGAGAAAGTGGTGACAGGGTGACAAATCAAGTCATTCTTAAGATGAGAGATTCCCTTAATGCCAGCAGTGGGCAGGCAGGAGGGCTTGGTGGATAGAGAATGGACTGAAGGAGTTTTAGGTCTTTGGGACAAAACAATGTTTCTGCTTCTGAGAAGGATTTCCACACAAGAAGCAGTTTTAGTTCTATGTGACCTATACTACATGACCAAGGTAGTGAAGTAGGCATATGTGACTCTAGTTGTATAACATGGTCATCTTTCCCTGAGAGTGACCTGAGAGAATGGGCCCGCTTAATGGGTAACCCATGCACTATAACAATAGCTGACTGCTCTGACTCCCAGGTGGAAAGAGGTGGGCTGGGTGTGTTCTTGCCCTTCTTGCAGCTCTCTGTGCTTAAGACCTCATTACTTGAGGGCTTGGCTTCTCAAGAAATGAAGAGAGTCATTACTGCCTCCTTCCCTGAATCTCTCTATTCTTCTGAGGTACAGAAGCTCAGCACAGGAATGCTGCTTTGTTCTCCCCCAACCCCTGCCAGGTATTTAGTTCATGTTGTGTTGTGTTAACTGATGAGGATTCAATGGCAAATTTGCCACAAGTCCTACTCTGGGAGCTCACAAATGAGTGAAGTGAAAGGTGGTGTTAATGCTAGACAATAGGAGTGTCCCTCAAGTGTCATAGGACTATGGAGGAAGCAGTAACAGATTCCACCCACAGAGGAAGGGTTACTCACATTAAGGTTTCTGTGATGTTTACTTTTTGCACAGTGATGTAAATAGTTTACACCTACGCACTGGGCTCATTTTCACAACGTTGTGCTAATAACATTATTGATTCTAAAACTTCCTTTTGTGGCATTGAGGATGATCCTGGAACTCATGCATTCTAACTACCACAGGACCACACCTAGATTGGCTGATGTTAGTTATAGGGACTGGGTCCAATGTTTTACTAGTTGGAGCATCTTTTTCATCTGTGCAACACCATGACCAACCACACATTTGGGTAACTTATTTGGCCCTGATTCCTCTCACAGCTAACATGCTCACTTTGTGTCTTGAAGTTCAATACACTATGTGTTTTCTGTGCCTTGGAGAAGATTTCCCGCAGGCACCTCTGAGCGGAAGATCAGAGGATGCCTACCCCTCCTCTTCCCAGGGATGCCAGTACTCTACACTTTCAAAGGGAAATGTGCTCCAGATGGTTATAAAAATAAAATAAAACAAACTTTTAATTAATGGGTCTTAAGTAAAAATTTAGCTATTTAGTAACACTCCAATAAATTTTAAAGATTTATTGATTTTTATTTTATCTGTATGGAGTTTTTCTTGCATGTATGTCTGTGCACTATATGTATGCAGTGTCCATGGAAGCCAAAAGAGAGTCCGAGATCTCATGGAACTGGAGTTACAGGTGGTTGTGAGCTGCTCTTGTAGGTGTTGGATTGAACTCAGATCCTCTGAAAAAAGCAACCAGTGCTCTTAACTGCTGAGCCATCCCTCCAGCCCCCTGACATCAGCTGCGTTCTAAAGCTAGCAGCTTCCCACTATTTCCAGTACAGACAGTTCTATTGGAAGCCTCTGGCCTAGGCTTGCATAGCTACACATATAGACATTTTATTAATGGCAGTTTTGTTGTCTTATTAGAAATTGGTAAGTTTAAGTATTGGTTGGAGAAAGCTAGTATAGTTGCTTCACAGTGGTCAGGAGCTGGGAAGATGGTGTGAAAAAGGAAGGAAGAAAGTCTTGGTGATAAGTTTTGGAATCATGTAAGTGTTTCTTTTTGATAGTTTCATAAATGCAGGAGATAAATGTGGGAGCACATAGTGTTTTGGCCATCTGCTGCCTGAGAGCAATAGCCTGGACTAAAACCCAGTCCTCTACAGGCTGAGAAAGTCCTACTTATTGTGTGATTCTGGAAAAAAGACACGTTGTCTTCTGGTACCTGCATTTTCACAGAAGGTACCAGAACAGACTGGAGAAAAAGTGCCATGTTCTGAGTGACGGTAGAGACATATCCTTTTATGGAACATTAAACATTTCACTTGGATGAGTAACAGGTGGCAAGGGCTGTGGAAAGATGATGAGGCAGAAAACTGTGGGACCTGGGGAAGTTTCCTTTAGAAAGACATCTGTAAGGCATGTCTGAAGACATTGATTAATGATACCTCCTGGTCCCCTGTGACAGCAGAACAGGGGGCACAGGTGTGCTGAGAGCTGGGAACCCAGGGGAGGGAGAATCAGAATATATCCATCAGGGACTGGGGCAGGAGAGCAGGCTTGAGCAATGCTCTGTGTCCCAGAGTCATTCCCACATGTCTCCCCAGAGGCTAAAATCACTTTTCCAGGCTGAAGATGGAAATCCTCATGAAACCTCACTTGGATCCAAAGACATGCCCATTGTCTCTCCACTGTTAAAATCACTGCTCGTGTTTATTGGAAAAACAGAACATAGCACATCTTGGCTTCCACTAGTCTCTGAGTCCTGGCTCTGTTGCCTCCAAGCTTGCCATTCACTTGGGGAAGCAACAGAACTGCTTTAATTAAATGTTCCCCAGAAGACTTAAAGAGGAAGGCACTCCTATGTAGCAAATTCTGAATGGAACTGCTAGAGGGGCTAAGGGTGAGGGTGGAGGAAGATCGGTCCCAGAATAGGAGTTCCCATCATGTCCAGTCCAGCCAAGGGCACAATACTCATACAATACAAGGTACTTCTCACAGAGATGTCTGGACTTCCTAAAAGCAGAAGGGGACCAGTGTGACAGTAATGGGCATTTTATCAGCCTCATGTGTCTGGAGTGGGCTTTGGGTGGTTGACATTGTAGAGGTAAAGGATTCTTTCTGTTGATGGGACAGCATAGAAGGGCATTTGGTCCAGAGGGATGAGTAACATAGCTGAAACATGGTCAACCTTGGCAGTGGTAAGGACAGTGGAACACTCTTATTGAACTGCCTAGAAGTTTTCTTTTGCAAAGATAACTTTTTGTTAAAGAATTGTTTAAAGAAAGTGCACTGTTGTGCAAGTATTTCTATCAGGGTATCTACAGATCTTTTGTGGGGAACCTGAACCTGGGCAGAGAGCATGTGTGTGATGCCAGATAGGGCTTGGGGGATTGAGTAGAAGCCCGGGTCAGAATACCTGGACAATGCCCTTTAGGAGCCTGGGTGGGAACATAGCCCTTACTAAATCCCAGCAGGCAGGGAGATGCATTTGCAGAGTAGACAGTCTCAATGTTTTGGGGTCATTGACCTTGAACTCAAAAGTGTGGCAGCCTGAGCAAACCAAGTTAAGACTCCACAGTATCGTCAGAGCTCAATTTCCCACTTGGGAACAGGGGCTGAAAACATCTTTAAATGCCCATCAAAGGAAATCTGGTTAAAAGTATAGTAGGGCTGAGTGTGCCCCTCAGTGGTAGAGATTTGCCTGGAAAGCACAAGACACTAGTTCAGTTCCCAGCATCATGAAACATGGTGTGTCCACAAAAGCCATCTCTTTAGAAAAAAAACAACCTGTAGGTATCATGTCAGCCTGGGGAGCTGGGGTTGGAAAAACTGATATAATTTACCTTTACCAATTACCAGCTGGCTCAGCTTGCTGCTCACTTCACCTGTGATGAACTCCTTAAGTCTTAATGAGCTTCGCTTTGAGGGAAATGTGGGTACGTGATCCTCCGCATTAGCATGTAGGTGCCCTGCTTCTAAACCCATGAGCAAAAGCAGCAGAACATTCCAGAATGTTCTCTATGACTGTGGTTCTTCAGAATGCATGCTTGTGCCAGCTCTGGTTGCTGAGACACTGACTCTCTTCTAAATTAAAAGCAGTCTCCTGATATCTTCATTACGAATGTTCTCTTCTAGAATGTTCTCTCCACAGTGAAGAGAATTCTAGTGACTAAGGGCCAGACCCAAGACGTCCCAGAACTCGGGGATCCTACTCTCTCTGGGCTTTAAGGTATTTGTGTGGCACCAGGACAGAAAAGGGGCATGGCACACATAGGGGTCTGAAGCCGAGTAACCAGTAAGGTCAGCACCCAATGAAAAGAAAGTTAAGACTTGCCATTTTACCCAGTTAGACTCTACCAAATGCCTAATGGGTATCTCCTATAATGTTTGAAGTAAGTGCGTTTACAGAACCCTCAGTTCCTTGGGGACAGGCAAGGCAGGCCTGCATCCACCTGCACCTGCTACCCGTGCAGGTAGGGGGCGCGCGGGCTCCCGGGGCCCAGAGCGTTGATGTGCTGCTGAGCACCTGCATCAGCCAGCTTCTCGTTGAGTTTTGGTTGACCAGCTCCAGGTGGCGGCTGTTCTTCCGCGCCTGCCTCAGAGACCCTTGACTTTCTTCACCCGCTCGTGGAGCTGCCTGTTGCGCTTCTCCAGGGTGGCCACCTTCTGCTGCAGCTTCTTGACGTGGTCCTCTTCCTCAAACAGGGCCTTCTGCACCGAGGAGCACATGAGCTGCAAGGCAGAGACAGAGCAGACCAAGAGGCAGGTGAGTCTCTGAAACTCCATCCAACGCGGGCGTCCCACCTTCTCCCTCCACCCGGGCGTCCTACCTCACCCCAAATACAAACAGAACCTTCACTTTGCTCTTTCTTACAAGATTTTGCATTTAAAATATGTTCCTGGCGGCAGGAAGGAATGAACTGCTTAGAATTGGTAGGCATATGCACAGGGATATAGGTAGTGCGTAAGGGAGGAGCCATGGTTATCTCCTTCGAACACACCAGCAAGTGTTTAACCTTTCTGATGAAGATAAAAGCAGTTTAAAGCCACCGCAGGTTACTATTTTCTACAGATTGGTGGATGGTGGGGCGATAGTAAGGATTAGACGAAGAGCCTCAGGCATATAGGCAAGTGTTCCTTCCGCCTTCAAACTGTATCCTCACCCCCTCCTTTCACATATTAGACTGAGTCAGGATTTGAGGTAACAGGACTCTACTGGACAGTGCACTCACATATGCAAACTACCAGGTATACAAACAAATTGTAGCATTGTTTGTTATTTGCTTCATTTTGGGGTTGTTGAGGATTAAAACCAATGATCTCAGAACATGCTAAACATGTGCTTGGCCTCTGAGCTATATCCTGTCATTTGTTATTTAAAAAGAGCTGAGCAGAGTAATGCAAGACTCTGTCCCCAGCATTTGAGAGGCTATCAGTTTCAGGCAAGATTGGGCTACACAAGAGACTTTGACTCCAAAACGTTTTTTTTTTTTTTTTTTTTTTTTTTTTTTTTTTTTGGTTTTGTTTGTTTGTTTGTTTTGTTTTAGTGTAGAACAAAATAAAAGTGTTTTTGTTTGTTTGTTTTTTTTTTTAGGGTTAAAACATCTTTTGAATGTCCATCAAAGGAGATCTGGTTCAAAAGTTCAGTGCAGCTCAATGGCAGAAACTTGTCTACAAGCAAGCACAAGATACTCAGTTTGACTCCCAGTTTCATGAAGAACAAGTAAGTTAGTATATGATGGAAAAGCTTTATGTCTTGTGTCTCTAAGGGATGATGTGGCTCTGTGGGAACATCACTGAAGCAAGTCTAAGCCTAGGTGTTAATGTAGAAAGCACAGTGTAGAATGATGTGGAGATGTGATATGGAGGCCATAGAATGTCATCTCCATGGATACCTATGCTTACATATGTGTATGCTCTCTCTGGAGGAATACACAAGAAACTGTGGCAATGGCTGTATCCTGGGAGCAGAGGGGACCGGAGTGTGTGGAGATTGGCCTTTTTCTTTCTGTGTACTTCTTGAATCTTGTGCTAAAAGTAGATTCCACTCTTACAAAGAGATAGGAGGTCTTCTCACTACTACGAGCTATCTGCCCCCACCTGTTCTCCATTTTCAAGAGCTGTGCTATTAAGCAAAGGTTTGAACCTCTGCTTAGAAATAGATTCAACCAACCATGTGTCAAAATAGAAAAAAAAAATCCAGAAAGTTTCCCAGATCAAAATTTCATTTGCCACATGCTAAGCACTACCCTGAATTTCCAAATGGGGTATAGGCTTCCCCAGCTGTAGCCTGACACCATCTCTCAGGCCCTTAGTCTGCCTCTAACTCCTGCCATTTAAGGTATACTCCTGCTTCATTTGTGGACTTGTAAGACCTCTGTAGGTACATCTGTACTGGAGTATGTACAGACTGTTTACCTGCTGTCACTCAGAAACCAATGGAGCATAGTAACTATTCATACCTGTTGTGTTAGGTATTCTACACAATCCAGAGGTGGTCCATGCAAATATACTGTGCCAATTTGGAACTTGAGCACCTGCAGATTTGGTATCTGAGGAAGGGACCCAGGACTAGTGTCCTTTATATGCTGAGAGGAGGGACTGTGTTCATCTAGCCCTAGCCACCTGCCCTGCAGTACATCAGTACAATTAAATGCAGTCATAAGGCAGCTGCCCTAGTTTCTCACCTTGCCTTTCTGCTTCTAAATGCCCCCACATCAGGCAAGCTTTTCTTGAACTCAGTGTGGTGAACTGGGCATTGCACCAGACACACTAGCTTTGGGACTGGAAGGTCTGTTTCCAGCTTCTTGGAGGGTTACAAGTAGACTCTCCTCCGTTGATTTTTCTGGAACCTGCCCTGGTTTGCCTCCCCTTTGCTGGGGCATTTGTTAGTCATGATACAGGGTTAGGAAATCCAGGGTCCTCATCCTGTCTTGAATCATCCCTGAAGGGCCATTTCAGCTTTACAGGGCCCCGGTGAAGTTGGAATTACAGTCTCACCTTCTCCCTGGTCCGCCATTTTCTCTTGCCCTGAGGGCCCCAGGTATGCCTCTAAAGCCAGGAGCATTCTCTGAAAATTCTCTGGCATGCTCCCCCTCCTCTCAGGTCCCATTTCAGGAAGCCTAATTGGCCACATACAGTTTCCTCATAAGTAACCCACATGAGATTAACCACAGGGTGGAACGATTTAGTAAGTTTTATCCAGGCAGTTCTTAGACTCATGCCTAGTGCATAGTAAAAGTTCTTTAACAGCCAGTAGCCCATGGTCAGACCCATCTACACATCTCCAATTTGCGCACCTGAGGCTTCATCCCAACATGCTGACTCCTGGTTCTTTCCTCCAGCACGTTTTTCTCCTCATCTCAAAGTCTGTGCCATAGTCTCTCTTCTCTACTATAGTGCCGTTTTCCCCACAGCTCTCTGAGCTCTTTTTTTTTTCTTTCTTTCTTTTTAAAGATAAGTCCCATGTAATACAAGCTGGTTTCAAACTTAGACAGTGTAGCCCAGGCTAGCCTTGAATTCCTGATCTGCTACCTTCATCCCTGACTGCTTCAATTCTAAGCATGCACTACCATGCCCAGCTGTCTGGCAACCTCATAAGCCTTCTGTGGAGTCACTTTCATGTTGCTACTCATATCATACTCTCCTATAGTTATTCATACACAGGGATAATGAATTTGAGTGCCCTTGGAAGATCACAAATTCTTCAAAACCCAATTCAACATTGGCCTTTGGCAATTTGGGACATATGAAAAAAAGTAGTTAAGGCAGTGTTCCAAAATTACTTGTCATTTAATAGTTTTGGACTCCCTGGAATGTCACAGCTGGAGGGAGACCCACATATGCAATACTGCCCTCTTCTGGCCAAAATTAATCACCCCCACCACACACACACACGCGCAAGCGAAAGTGGGTAGAGGAACCTCTTTGAGGAACTCATTATTTCTATCATATATGTGTGAGTGAGTAAGAACTGTGTATTTAAAAATTCTCTATATTCAGTAGCCAGAATAAGCACTTTCTACTCACTCTCCTTATATCATGGTCTATGTATGTGTTATGGTAGATTCTTCCGGAACAGAACAAAAGAAAATAAGTAATATACCAAAGCAAGGGGCCCAAAGCCTTTCCATTTAAATGAAATCCATTAGTATATACTTGACTGTCACATAAAAAAGGAGTTGAAGGGATGGGGATATGAACAATCACCAGGGCAAGGTTTTTCCCAGGACACCAACATTCCTGGTAGGCATTCCTCTGACCAAAGGGTAATGAACTCCATATTCTGGGAGAATCCAGGGCAAGAAGAACTACAACTCTAGCAAAAATAACACACCCATCCACAGATGCCTTGACAATGACCTGAGGAGACCAAGAGGCACCAAGGTGTGTCTGGGGAAGTGGTGTATAATGAAGAAAGAAAATTACAAAGCAAGGTGAAATATAAACCTTAGTGAGTGCATCACTGTGGTCCTCATAGCTTTTCCTTCTACTGATGGGAGCTGAGAAAAGACATCAAGGGGCTCATAGAACTTATCCAGTGTCGAGAGTAGAAAGCCATAATTCAAGACTACTATCACACTGGTCTCTCCTCTTCAGCAAACATGCCATGTACATTGAGACAATACTATGAAATAATGAAGTGGGCATCCTAGATTCTGGTCATCCCTCCCTCTCCCTCCCACACACACACACACACACACACACACACACACACACAGAGTGAGAACTCCTAGAGGGGGAGAGCTATACTTTTCAAATGCATGTTTCTTTAAGAAACTCCTCTTTGGGAAAAGCTTTCCAAATGAAATTAATCTCTTAAAATGTACTGAAAAAAAAAGTCAAGACATGCCATTTATTCCTTTAGCTTTGAGGTGTTTTTCAGTATCTGAGCTGCAGAGGGAAGGCTGGCAGGTACAGCACATTCTCTTTGAAGACCTGGAAAGAAGGACCTCAGGGAGGAGCCCTGAAGCCACAGATCCCCCAGCTCATCCTTGCAGAACCCTGGCGCTTCCCCAGATCACCTGGGGAAATGGCATGCTAGATGCCTAAGCACCTCCACCATGCCTGCAGCAGAATTTTATCTGGAAGTTTCCATGTGGCTGAGAGAGACCTGCCTGCTTCTGGGCAAATGGGCAAATTGCCATGAGCTAGAAACTGCTTTCTTATGTTTATCAAGTTAGGCTGAGGTACCCAGGCTTCCTTATCTTTTAAGATATCATCTTCTAAAGCTAAATGAAGCAATGAGCTGATTGTAGATCAACTTTTAAAAGATAAATAAGGGACCCAGCCTGGGAAGATGTTTTAGTTGGCACCACTCAAACATGAGGACTGGAGTTTGGCTCCCCAACACCAAGTAATAACCTAGAAGCAGAGGTACACACTTACAGCCTTGTCATTGGAGAGCTAGAGGTAGGATGGCCCCTGAGTCTTGCTAGCCAGGTAGCCTAGTCTAATTGGCAAGGCCCAGGTCCCACTAAGAGATCCTGCCTCAAAAAAGGTGTGGGGCCAGCCAGATGGCTCAACAGGTAAAGGTACCTGCCATCAAAAGTCCGACAACCTGAGTTTAATCTCCAGGACCCACATGGTAGGAGCAGAGAGCTGACTTCTGCAAGTTGTTCTCTGACCTCTACATGTGCACTTTGGTGTGCATACTGTGTGCACTCATGTGCATGCACAAACACACACACACACACACACACACACACACAACTGTAAGAAATACATAAAAC